TTTTCGACAATCGATACACAAAAGATCATTACTGTCGATGAGAACGGAATAATAGGATGTCATCAATTGTTGCATAAATCGATGGCACCTGATATACCTTTCATGGTCGAAGTTGATCCTGTGCTACAATATAAAAGGTGAATTATATATCATATATTTTTGTGTCTAATTTGTTTCCAATGAAAAATTGTATCTTATGTCATAATATATTTATACATATTTACAATAGTCATTTTAATACGCCATTCTGTTATGACGCTGAAATCACACCAAAATGTTTTGCATGCAGTAAAGACGGTAAAGTTGTATTGAGTGCTGGACACTGGGATAACACATTTAAGGTTTCCAATACCGAGACTAGTAGAACAGTTGCCTCAATATCCGGCCATGATGATATCGTGACAGCAGTGGCGATTAGTGAGGATGGGAGAATTGTGGTATCAGGATCGAGGTGTTCAAACCTGTTGTCGTGGAAAGTTAACCTTACACATGATAATGAGTTTTTGGAGATTGAACCGGTTCCGATGCAGGCATACTATGGTCACGACGACGAGGTAGGTTTTTTTATTAGAGCAAGAGTCAATGTAGAGTCGGCTTCATTATTTTCATATTATGCACCCTTCATCATTTGTAGATCAATTGCATAGTGGTGAACGCCGAACATGACATTTTAATTAGTGGGTCAAAGGTTTGTATATGTCTAACTTGTAGATGACTTGGATGTTGAGTTTTATGGTGTTGACTAACAATTCCTACGTTTTATAGGATAGAACTTGTATAGTACATTCATTGAGAAATGCAAACTACATACGTACTTTGCGGCCATTGGATGATATAGAGTCGAGCATCGAGTTTATCTGCATCACCAAGGACGCAAATATTGTCTTGTACACCGAGATAAAGGTAAGCCTTATAAATTTTTTTCAATTTTATTCTTGCCTTAAAACATCTATTTCTTGATAATAAAACTGTCTACATCTGTCTAGGACGAATACTTCCTTCACACATACAGCATCAATGGAAAGCTTTTAAATTTCATAAAGATAAATGAAAAGTTGGTTCACATTATTTCAGCACACGACAGGAACTTAATTATCACTTCAAGTGATAGGGGACGAATTTGCATTTATGATGTTCTCAGGTATGTCTTTTTTTTCACGAAGAGTATCGTTCAATTCTTCAAGTAATCTTAATAACAAACATTCATACATTTTCCGCTTTCAACTATAGTCTAAATTCTTTACACGATTATGAAATACCATTAATTGGCAGGAGTATTAAACTCAGTGCCGATAATCGTCAACTATGGATTTCAGGAGATGATGGAAAACTTTTTATAATTTCGTATATGGAAGCTAAAGATTAAACGCATTTCTCTGTCACTTTAAAATATTAGGTTTCAAAAATTTAAATTTAATTATAGGAATT